GAAGCATTCATGTGTATGGATGAAATGTGTATTAAGGTTGTCGCACAAGGAAAGTGATTTGCAAATAGTAAAAAGGAATATATTACACGTGGTTTATTTAACATATCAAAAGACATAACGTGATCTACTGCACTTCGCTAGACAAACAGGGACTCTTTTGAAGCTGTATGAAGGCACTGTCGTTAATGAGTGATGACCGCTACTAAGTTCTACCTGTGTTGAAAAAGATGACTTGTATCTTTGTAATGTAAATACATAGCTCATAAGCAAACATTCTTACTTTAATGTTTTTGTGCAGGTTTACAAAGTCCATGTAACTAGCACGTAATTGTCGATAACAACAAGTCTGACGGCTGCAGACACATTAATTCAAACAAATGCCATTTACCTTAAAGAAGTTAACAAAATATTGTTGGAATATTTGGTTAATTGTTGTGAGGGTTCTTTATGTTATGAAACATTTGGCTGTAAAAGCAACTTCAGTTTACATTGTCGAAGTAATGTGGAGCGAGTAAAGAGTGAGTGAGTGAGTGAGTGAGTGAAGGGGTTTCATTTGAAGCCTTGAACCTTATTTCTTTTGAATCACGGCTAATCAGCTTTGAGTCGAGGAAGAGCCTGAAGTGACAGAAGTTAGATGTGTACACTTTGGGCGAAACCCATGAACTTCCATACGACAAATCTAGGGATATAATCAGAGTGAATTCTTCAGCGTGACGAGTACCAACCAAAAGTATCATGTATCTTCATCAAAATATATATGTTTGTGATACAAACTTGGTTACAGTGATTGGATGACTTGCTACCCACACTTCTCTGCACCTTAAAAGAGTTGCCACAGTACACAGTGCGCTAACTATGAATGGCGGTAGACACTGTTGTAAACGTAACGGTACAAATCTAGCTACCCCTGCGACAAAGGGGCTGTTCGTGGGGGAGCTACCCCTGCGACAAAGGGGCTATTCGTGGATGTTTCGGGTGTTTTGGAGTGGAGTTTTCATACCTTTTTGGGACAATATGAATTTCAGCCCACTTCCAACATTATTCTGGATTCATGAACGGAGAACACTTTCAGGAATTTCAACAGTGAAACTACTCTCAACATCTCAGGCCTTTACTCATTGCGGCTGACAAGTTTTCGACCCGTAGTATTAAAACTGAGTGCTTCGATATATTTACTTGCTTATTCTTTGATCTTGAGTTATCTTGTGCGTAGCGATTTTGGGGTTCAACTCGTTCTTTCAATTTGGAAATCATTACGTAACACTTTCATACTGATTTGTTATCAGTAGCATATATATGTAATTGTACTTATCTATCTATCTATCTATCTATATCTATCTATCTATCTATCTATCTATCTATCTATCTATCTATCTATCTATCTATCTATCTATCTATCTATCTATTTATCTATCTATCATGCATGCCGGAGGGGTGCAACCCTGCACAGCGAATATACAATGTTATATATGTTATTTTAATGTCCTCATTTTCAGAGCCGGAATTCGCTGAGCAGAGTCGCCTCCCTTCGGTACGCCGGGAACCTATCGTTGTGGGTTCGAATCCCGGTCCGCCCCGTATTTTCTATCTTGGTTTATCAGCACCCTTGCTAATGCTTACCTCTGATATAGTGAACGTCTGACACCTCCATTACTTGGGGCTTCTCACCCACGCTGTTCAAAGACCAACTTTCCCAGTCACTCAGTCATACGTCATGCTTAAATTACTAATCTGGTACCAATCATACTGGTCTAATCTTACTGGTCTAATGCTACTACCGCTTCATACCCAAGGCATAGCTAGTCATTAGGGCCGTGAGGGTAGCCCAGTGGTCAAATCAACCGAAGACCCGGGTTCGATTCCCCATATGGTTACAATGTGTGAAGCTCATTTCTGGTGTCCCCCGCCTTGATATTGCTGGAATATTGCTACAATCGGCGTAAAACTACGCTCACTCACTCACTCACTCAAGGTATTTCCAAACACGCAGTGGTATGACTGGACTACTGTTCATGGCGGCGTGTGAAGCCCGTTCCTGGTGTCCCCTGCCATGATGTTGCTGGAATATTACTACAGCGGCGTAAAACACCACTCACTCACTCTCTACACTATTCATATGTTAATTATATTACAAATAATTGCAGTGACCATTGTCGGTTCTTTGTGCATTTCCAGGGACTCTAGTTGTGTCCAAGTTACGGAACCTTTTCTACGAAAGAGACTTGCAAATCATAATATTTTATTGTACTAGGGGACATAACTGACTCAACAAATTCACAAATATTGATTTCCGATTCCCACAGTTACATGCATCCTAACCCTGCGGTGTCTTAATCCCTCGGTGTTCTTTCAACCGCCCCCTACGTTCTTAATCAATTGGAAGTTGTGATTGGATGGAATACTTCTCTCTGAAATGGCACTATTGCAATAACCTTTTGCCTAATCATTCGGGCTTAATACCAAAACACGTAGGCGTCTTATAAATATTCATGTAATACATGGTATCAATAAACACTGTATCTTCCGTGTGTTTGGGTAGCAAAACAGAACATGTGACCAACATCTTGTAACCTTTATCACTGTATACGTAAACCTAGATCAGTGTGTATTGTAACCTATATAGCCGTATATTGTAACCTATTTCGCTTATATACAGTAACCTATATTGATGTGTATTGTAACCTATATAGCCGTATATTGTAACCTATTTCGCTATATATGTGTATTGTAACCTATATAGCCGTATATTGTAACCTATTTCGCTATATATATAGTAACCTATATTGATGTGTATTGTAACCTATATAGCCGTATATTGTAACCTATTTCGCTATATATACAGTAACCTATATTGATGTGTATTGTAACCTATATAGCCGTATATTGTATATTGTAACCTATTTCGTTATATATATAGTAACCTATATTGATGTGTATTGTAACCTATATAGCCGTATATTGTAACCTATTTCGCTATATACAGTAACCTATATTGATGTGTATTGTAACCTATATAGCCGTATATTGTAACCTATTTCGCTATATATAGTAACCTATATTGATGTATATTGTAACCTATATAGCCGTATATTGTAACCTATTTCGTTATATACAGTAACCTATATTGATGTGTATTGTAACCTATATGTGATTTCGTTATATATATAGTAACCCAAGTGTTGCCGTATATTGTAACTTATATATTGTAACTTATATGCTGTATATGTAACCTATATTGCGGTATATATCGTATATATCGTATATTGTAACCTAAGTATCGCTATATACAGCGGAATATTCTAACTTATATCGCTGTATATCGTAACCTATATCTCTGTATATCGTAAGCTATATCGCGGTATATTCTAACCTATATAGCTGTGTATTGTACTATTGACTGAGTTTAGTTTTACGCCGCTTTTAGCAATATTCCAGCAACATCACGGCGGGGGACACCAGAAATGGGCTTCACACATTGTACCCATGTGGGGATTCGAACCCGGGTCTTCGGCGTGACGAGCCAACGCTTTAACCATTAGGCTACCCCACCGCCCCGCTGTGTATTGTAAGCTAGACAAGTGTATATTTTAACCTATATGGAAGTACATAGTAACCTATATGTCTGTATATTCAAACCTATATCGCGGTATAGTCTAGATATATACTGGCCCCATGTGCTGACATTTGATGAACGCGTATAAAACACGTTGTAAGTCGTCACATATGCCGAGACCGGAAAGTGTAACGGCTGTGCCGATATATTACTTAGAAAATGCCATAAGAGAAAATGTTCACAGTTTAACAATCCGTAATTAGAATTCAACTTCAAACAACAGCTTCATCTTGCCACGGTAAAGGGTATTGAAACAAATATAGGTTCTTCTCTACTTGGTGAAGTTTAATGGAATGACTGCATTTAGAATGTTGGCAGTTCTCTGAAGTTGATAAAGTCATTTGCAGCAGCAGCAGGAGCAGCAGCAGCAGCAGCAATATCAACGTCACGGGTGTATTTCTGTCCGATTATTCTAATTAAGTAGATGGCTATGGATGAAATGATCAATGTATCGTTAATACTCGGAGAATTTATACATGTCAACAGTTCATAACGGGTTTTTAACTTCTGTTGCTAGTACAATATGAGACAGTGTATCCACACAGTGAAACAAGCATCCATTTGTGTTCTATTTTCCCCCATCGTTTTCGACACCGAAATTGTATAAACATTTTCTTTAAAAACCTACATCATTTTTGTTTATCTGTATCGAGGATGCTTTGTGTGGAGCTAAGTTTGAAATAATGTTAAATCTTTTAAAATACTCTGAAATTGTTCTCTAAATATTCAGTCATATTTTACATTAATACGTTGATACGTGTCCAGCTGGGAATATTAGTGCTTTTAGGATGAAACGTAATTTGTGTACCCTGCTATGTCTTTGCTGATAGCAGAGTTTCAAGGAACTTTTATATAACTGAAATTCAAATATTTTCTTTACAAAATCTTCAATATCGACTACTAGTTTTCAATAGAAAAATATCCAGATTTTTTAGAAATAGATCTGTAACGTCATCATTCGGCGGCCCATATAAACATCGCGATCTCTACAATGAATACCTTTTCACTGGCTAAATACCTAATACAAAATATAACTGTTCAAGCCAACAACAAAACGGTCACGTAAATAGATCCGTTTTTTCTCTTTGCTCCGCATGTTGTCAAGCCAGGAATTATAATGAGTTCTTGATAACTCCAGACTTACTTAAATGCACCCTATTCGTGGGTAGCCCCGGGGAATGGTTTAATGGAGAGGCATACCCACATTTAGTTAAAGTGTATTGCGAATAACAATCATTAAACTAAATTAATACAAGACTTTTCGCACACAGACAAAGCCATTTACGACCCAGAGAAAGCTGCTTGAAAGAATAGTCGATAGGGGTTATTCGACTCCAAGACAAAAGAGTTGGGGGAAAAAGGGGGATAATTAATATTGTAGGTATACCTCATCGTGACAAGAGAAATCCGATGCGTAGCCTTTGTTTCGCATGTGGTTCAGGTAGGTCTGGGTGATAGGGAGACTGAAGTCGATCATTGGTGGATCGTCCGTCACGTGACTTGGTGAGATCGTCCTGCTGCCGTTCTGATTGGTCGCGCAGGTTGTGTTGTTGTTATGCTCAAACGACAGGTGCATCCGTTTTTGGCAATCTGCACACGACATGAGAAAACGTGTGACGGCCTCACGGGGCAGGAATGAATACGTTTCGGCGATCTGAAATGTAAAAAAAACAGCAATAAATCAACCGGAACAGTCCTTAAAACTAGGCAGCATGGTGGGTGTTAAACACATAGGGGGGATCGTACAAAACGATACCCCTAGTTGATCCCCAACCCCCATTTTGGGGCTTAAGGAAAAAATGACGAGGTGTTACATGACACGACATTGCGCTAAACTGCGCGTGCAAAACGGTTGCAACAGCGCCATCTGTGTCCTATACAAGGGAAATAATAGGCGCAAGCCCTCCATCTTTAAGCCATATTGTTTGTGTCGGTGTCTGCCGTTTGGTAATGGCACCCGGAGATGACAAACGGTGGGGTAGACGTATCTGCGCGAGGGAGGGTAGGGGCGATCCACGTGGGGTGCGCTCGTTAAAATATCATCCAGTTCTCCCTGATTCGTACGTGTTGTTAAAGTTTGTGGGGGTGCAGTCTTTGTTTGAGTTATCTCAGATTACAGAAGACGTTGAATCATTAAACGGATAGCGGGGTATACCTGGAAATGTACCTACTGATCAAAATATCAGATATAAGTTAAGAGAGTGAGGTGATGGATGGATATATAATAATTGATGGACATGCGCATTACATGTTTTTGTAATTCATTATCAAAACATAAACCGAAACATTTTGTCACAAATAAACGAACTCAGTCAATACCGTCATAGACGCTGTACAAATTGACTAATCGATGTATACCTCCCTCCCTCCGTCATATCATTAGCCCCTGCCCCTCGAATTACCCCTACCCTTACATATACACCTTACCCCTCCCTTGCCTTTTCCCTGCCCCTCGTATTACCTATACCCATACCCCCTGACTTACTTCTGCACATACTATTACCTCTACCCCTTGCCTTATCTTTGTCCCTACCAATAACTCTACCCCTTGCCTTACCTCTGACCCTTCCATTAAATCTAACCCTACCGCTTCCTTTTCCCCTCCCTTCGTATTACCTCTACCCCTACTCCTTATCATACCCCTGTCCCTCGTATGACCTCTGCTCTTCCCCCCGACCCTCCCACTACCTCTACCCCATGCCCCTCCCATTACCTCTACCCCTACCCATTGCCTTACCCCTGGTCTCACCATTAATTAAATCTACCTCTACCGCTTCCCTGCCCCTCGTATTACCTCTACCCATACCCCCTGACTTACCCCTGGCCATAATATTACTTCTGCCCCTTACCCTACCTTTGTCCCTACCAATATCCCTACTCCATGCCTTACCTCTGACCCTTAAATAAATCTAACCCCACAGCTTCCATTACCCCTCCGCTCGAATTACCTCTACCCTACTCCTTGCCTTACCCTGCCCCTCGTATTACCTCTACCCCTACGCTCTACCCCTTACCTCTGGTCCTACCATTAATAAAATCTACCTCTACCGCTCTACCTCACCCGCCTCTCCCATCACCTCTAACCCTGTCCCTAACATTACCTCTCGCTCTATGCCTGCCCTGTCCCTCCCATAACTTCTTCCCCTGACCCTATCATTAGCTCTACCCCTTCTCTTTCCCCTCTGCCCCTACCATTACCTCTACCCCTTCTCTTTCCCCTGCCCCTATCATTACCTGTACTCCATCTTTCCCCTGCCCCCATCATTACCTCTACCCCATCTCTTTCCCCTGTTCCTATCATTACCTCTACCCCATCTCTTTCCCCTGTCCCTATCATTACCTCTACCCCATCTCTTTCCTCTGTCCCTATCATCACCACCAGCTCTACCCCTGTCCCTATCATTACCTGTACCCCCTACTCTTCCCCCTGCCCCTATCATTACCTCCAGCTCTACACCTGCCTTGCCCATGTCAGTAACTCTAACCTACTACTGCCTTACCACCTACATCCAACCCACACCAAGCTTACCCTCCCTCCGCCCCCTCCTTCAAATCCCGTCATTTACAACCTGCAGCGACCTTTACCAACTTTACCCATCACCCCGACCGCCTCTTCAAATTAATCACTCCCGATGGAACCGCCATCCCGTCCAATAGCTTCCACGGGACGCAGAGATTGCAAGTAAAGTAACTCTGATAGCTGATTAATCTCATCCTCAGGTTCCAGACCTCTGATGGTGATTGTGCAGCAGCATATTGGCAAGCTGGAATCAACGATGATCATTTTACAACCACTTCGTTCCATTTTCAGCAGTTTTCTTGTTCACCACAACACAAACAGAGTTGTTTCCCTTGAACCACCTTTTAGCCAAACCGCTTTCCAACTGTTATCAATAAATTCCAACTTATATGGGGGACATCGCTTTCATTTTATTAGTTGACATACATTTCAGCACCAAAACACTGTCGGACAAGATATAATATAAGGATAGGCAATACACAATAGTGCCACGTCACTGGAGGTCACGCGGGTAGGTAGTTTACAGTTCGAAATGTCAAAACAGGCAATTAGAAATAGTTGCTGTTTGCATTGATCGCTGTTGAATCTCACAACGAACTAAAATATACCAAATTTGATTAAAGTTTGTTCTAAAATGACCTAGAAATAGCCATAAAAGCTTTTTAACTAACGCATATTAAGAAAATCAAAGATGATGATCAAAGATCAAAAAGAACAAATAAAGGTCACAATTTGAAATATAACAAAAAGTGAAACCAAAGTGTTAGCTCCTTCACTGAGTGCAAATACAAAAGTTGATTTTACATTTTTGAAACTAATGTTTGAGACATGACAGGAATAAGTTGTCAGTTTTCAGCGCGAAGGTTAAAGTAAACTGTTATAACAAAGTAACAGGAAACACACCTTGAACAAACGTGCCACATAACAGGTGTTGGTAGGTTGTTCGACATGGCTGCTGTGACAGCCATTTTTGAAATCGAACATCTTGAACAAAATCAGGGGTTATGATTCAGAGGAACAATTGCAGGATATTTCAGTTTTATAAGTTAATTCAGTGCGAGTGTGAGTATGGTTTTACGCCGCTTTTAGCAATATTCCAGCAACATCACGGCGGGGGACACAGAAATGGGGCTTCACACATTGTACACTCGAACCCGGGTCTTCGGTGTGACGAGCGAACGCTTTAACCACAAGGCTACCCCACCACCCCGTTGATTCAGTGGTTTCTGAGGATAAGGTGTTCAGCTGTTCAGGTGTTCAGGTGAGACAGGCGCACCTTTCTAATCATATTCATTGCTTTGAAACATATCGATTCAATTTGTTCTTGAAAATTCAGCTGTCGATGAAAATGCAAATTTGTCTTCACATTAATCACATTAAAAAACGCAAACGTACATGACGCAAGAGTATATTTTCTACTGCTTTATTTTGTGTGAATTCGAAAGACAGGTTCATATTGCAAAATGTTGAACAGACAAGTACATGTACTTTCAATCCAACCATGGTATGATGCAAACAGGAGACATATACAGCATAAAGTGAATAGTGAATTTGCTCTTTATTACACCTTAAATACCGCGGCCACTCATTTTGTGCCTATTTTTGTTTTGCAAATCTAATATATAGATCGATGAAAAAGTTCAATTTCCATCAACTGTGTTTGATGATGTTGGCGCATAACATGTACGTGGGATGGAACAAAATCATAATTTTCATGATATCCCACGCACAACACTGGGCAGGATGATTGTGGTGTTTTTGGAACACATACACAATATTTGTAACTTGTAAGTTACCATTCAATCACTTCACAAAATATTTCCCTGTTTGCTGGAAAACATTCCCAAAGCACCTGTGCACTTTCTTTTGCAGGGGCGGGTACAGCTTTCTGAGAAGGGGTGGGTGGACTGGTGGTGCACACATTACATTTTCAGCCGTTTTCACGAGAGTTTCAAGGGTCATTTAATATTAACCTTTTAGGACAAAAGGGGGCAGGTGGGGAAGGGGGATCTCTGGATCCGCCTATGTTTATATGTCAGTTTGGCGGAACCCTAAGAAATATTCTTACTGAAAACGCAGGGAGCAAGCAAGCTTAATAATGATTGATTTAAATCTGTAAAAAATAAACTGTCGGTGAAAAGAAACTTTACCACTTTAAACATGAAATTGTAAAACTTTAAAAACACTAATCCAAACTAAATCAATGACATTCTCCAAACACAAACAATGCTGTATGCTCTGTTTCTCTGTTGTTGTTTTGTTAGTTTGTTTTTGTTGGTTTTGTTTTTGTTGTTGTTCGGGCAAATGTCAGGCCAATATCGGTTGCTGTATGACTATCAGTTTAAAAGTTCTGGATTTATTTAACAAAAGGTAAGGTTTCTTTTGTCTTGTATGAGAAACACGAGTCAGCACACGTACCCATCAGCAAACTCAATGCCTTTCAGTTACTTAATGGCATCGCTGCACTGATTTCTTGTTCAAATAATTATACATTCTGGGTTTGGCCTGGTATGACTTGAAACCTATAGAGGAATAGTAATGTTATCACAAAGTTTCAAAACTAATGTCCGCATCAACTCAAAGCTAGTGTAAAAGAATGGAAAATATAGCCCATGAATGTATTTGCGTTTAGAGGGGCGGTGGGGTAGCCTAGTGGTCAAAGCGTTCGCTCATCACGCCGAAGTCCTGGGTTCGATTCCCCTACAAGGGTACAATGTGTGAAGCCCATTTCTGGTGTTCCCCGCCGTTATATATATTGCTGGAATATTGCTAAAAGCGGCGTAAACCCATACTCATTCACTTGAGTATAGGTCTATTTGCAGTGTTTTTCATGACCTTGGTCAGAGTCACTAAGTTCAGGGAAAGCTGGTCTGGGTGTTATATGTTTTCCTGTTTGTTGTTTAATGACTGCGGATGACTGCGGTCTCTGAATAATGGAGCATGGTCCAGACAATCCAGTGATTTATTATACGGGCAATGCACAACGCTGTCGCGATACCGTGATAAGCATCAGCCAGGTCACAGAGTCTGACCAACTGATCTTACAGTCGTCTCTCAATACCCACCGATGGCTGTTTGGGGACTTTTTCTGCCGCAGATTGTTGATCCGTTGTGAGGGTGAGGGTGAGGGTGAG